GGGAAAATTTTATTCTCTCATATATAATGCTTTTAGGTATAAGATAAACTGCCTAGCTAATAATTGAACGGGAGAATTTGATCTCTCATACGTAGTGATTTTAGTTATGAGGAGATAAGAAAATAATTTTCTAACAATTGAGCGGAGGAACTTTCTCTGTCATATGTAGCTTTTTTTTAAGTGTATGATAATTCGGCTAACAACTGAGCATGCTAATTCTTTCTCTCATATATAGTGCTTTTAGGTATAAGATAATCCGGCTAACAATTGAGCGATTGAATTTTCTCTCATATGTAATTCTTTTAAGTACTCATTAAATAAGTCGGCTAACAATTGAGTAGGACAGTTTTCTCTCTCTAATATATTAGCACTAATTTAATTAACGATTAACAAGTTGCCATTTAACTAATATTTGTGAATTTTAATATTTATTGTATTCACTTAAACTTTATGTCATTTACGTATTGTACTCACTATTTTAGAATAGTGTTTGATTTTAAAATTATTTTAATAATGAAAATTAATGGATAGCAAATTCTAATGAGTGGTGTCAATTAATTTTTTCTAATATACTCTTTATTGAATATTTATTGTATGACTTATACTTTAAGATATTAGCTCATTGTAATTACTCTTATTTCTCGAAAATATAGACTCCCAAAAAGTTATTTTTATTTTAATATTTAATTAGATCATGAGTAAAAATATATGCACCAACTCCTTTCTCCCGTGCGTATGCACGGGTACTATACTAGTTTATAATATAATATATTCTTTTATAATATATTCTTTTTCCTCAGATTTTCTCCCACCATTTATCCCAACGGTTTCATTATCATCAGCTTCTGCTTATGTAAAATTCAGAATCAATATTGATCCAAACACCCCTTATTAGGACATACTTGTCCAGTTTTGACGAAAAAACGGTGCGCAGGCAACACTAGTGGCGCGCGGAGCAGACACGGAGTAAGAATGCTATAGCTAGAGTACTAAGAATAGAAAGTTGCCAACCCTTTTCAATGAAATAAATGCTTCTATTTATACCCACCAATGGGCAGTTGGCTACGCTGACGTGGAAGATTGCGGTTGGCTGGTGTCCCAACCACCAAATCTTCAGCATTAAATGCGCTTCCCGCCAGAATCTAGGTTTCCCGCCTAATTGGTGGGGACGTTCGTCCGTCCGGGGAGGTGAGCTGCTCCAGGTGGCTTGCAAAGGGTATTGGGTCGTTCGTCCTCTGGCCCTTGGTGATTTTCGCCATGTAAGATGGATTGCTTCCAACGGTTATAGCTTGTCATGACGACGTTCGTCGTTATTCCGATGGCTTGTGGGATTGCTCCCTGTCGACATCATAGACGTTCGTCGGGTGGGCCGCTGCACCTGAGCCCCTTCTTCAGACGTTCGTCCACACTGAGTAAGTGGGCCTGTCAGGATAGCCTGGTGACCTTTCCGGACGTTCGTCCGGATGAAGGGGTAAATGGGCCGAACCCCGATTTGGGCCATTAACCCAACAACTGGTTAAATCAATCACACTTTATATTGCTATATACTCCGCATCTTTTATTTTACATTCCTATTCTTTCAATACAAACTATTTCACTTTTTCTTTCTTCCCTTATTCATATGCAAGTTTTCTTTTCTTAATTAGTTCAATGGCCCCATATTAAATTTATAACATAATTGTTAATTTTTTCAAAATAAGAAAATAAATTAATGAATTTTTAATCATTTTCTTCTTCTTCTTCAAATAATGACATATATCATTTAATGTATAAATTATCAAGAATAATTCTCAACAAACTTGAACTTAACATACATATTTACTTTTTCCTTAAAATAATAGCATTTTTTATTTGTGACACCTATATACACATATATACAAGTTTCTGATCAAATAAAAAGAGTTGTTCTCATGAAAAGTGAGAATAAATTTTGTGGATTAAACTTGGGATCTAATAATGGCTCAAAATCAGACAATAATGCACTATACTTTATATAAAATATGGTCACAATTTACTAAACAAATCAAAGTTTTCTTCATAACAGAAAAGTGCAAAACAAATACTCTGTATCTATCATTGTACCAGAATGAATACGTAAAAAGTGCACTCGTTCGCACTATTCATGGGAACAATTCTTTTTATTGTAATTGTGCTCTATATATCAAATGATTACTTTTCACACATTTTCCCTTTATTCTAATAAAAAATGTTTCGTAAAACATTTATATATTTATAAGAACACCCTCTCAAATTATTCTTTGGTTCTGTGGTTGCCCACTGATTTAATCTACTCCGTATGTAATTAGCATCAAGTAAAAAAAAGTATCAAGTTTGTATCAAAATTTAATATTTATCGAATCACAGTAACGTCGTATCTTGTTACTTCATCTCACATTACTGATTTTTTTTAACCAAATCACATTACTGATTATTAGTTTGTTAAAATATAATGTAAACATGTCATGATCGAGATATATAGGATGTGAGTACTAAGAGTAGGGATAAATGTAAAGTTTTTTAAGTTTTTGATTCGTAGGATGTTTATACTGAGGACTGTTTTCAGACCAGACTTGAACAAATCAAATCATAACAGATTTAAACAAACCAGACCATACTAGAATTACACAGACTAGATCTGACCAGACCAGACTTCCATAGTTATAAAATACAAAGAGACCAGACTAGACGAGACCAGATCAGATCAGACCAGATTTAAGCAGATCAGACTTAAACAGACCAAACCATACCAGATCAGACCAACAAATTACAATCCAAATCAAAACATCCTTAGTTTGTTTGTAAATATAATACTCGTACTACATAAAGGTTGAAATGTTTTTACTTGAATTGTTTTCAGTGTCGGACCGAACTGGTTTCAGTTTCAAACCGGATCAAATCAAACTTTTTTTTGGATAAAAGCGGCTCACATTAATATCAAACTATTCGGAGAGTAGGCAAAACAACAATATAACTTAGGAAAAGTGCCGTCCCGCGAACCAGATTCAGAGTTAATCACCTCGGTAAAGTAACTCGCTGATCCATTGGTGGGCAGTGGGCACAACTAAGCCAGTGACGGTAATCACAGTTAAATCATCACCCACATCCAAATCCAAAACCACAGTTGATAGAGTATTTAATTCTAGAGAGAAGTGAGAGCTAGAGAGAGAAAGCGGGTAATTAATATTTCTCAACCTCCTATAACTAGCCCATAGGGGTCTATTTATAGGTAAAAATGTGGATTTGGGCTCCCACCTTTGGGCTTAGGAGCCTCATTACAATAATCATGACTTCTTTGGGCGGAATAGGGCCAGTAATGGGCTGAGTACAATACTTATTAGTAAAATAAAGCAATAAAGTACATTCTGCTAGGAGCCATCGTGGCCGATGCGGTGCTTTTGGCCGATGCGACCTCATGGCCGATGCGGTCCCCTGGCGTCTCGGATTGATCCGATTCTGGCCGTTGCGGGGCCCACTAGGCCGAAGGGTTCCACGTGGGTGTTCCTCTGGTGTTGTTGACCGTCTGAGTATGTGGGCCATGTGGTCCAAACCCATATACTCTATCAACAGTCTTACAATTGAAAGAGATAAAATAACAAACAAACACAGACAAATTCATACCATTAAAATAAATAAAAGCAAAAAAAAAACTTCTTCACTCAACCTTCCAAGAATCACCGGCGGCGGTTCAGGAGGGGGTCAGATCACCATCTATTCATTCTTTCTTCATCGCTTTGATCTGCCCTTGAGCCGCCTCCACAAACGAATCTCCCTATCCACGAACGAAGTGCTGAAAGACGTCACTACTCCTCGCCAAAAGACGATAGCGAACAAATAAAACTCTAGCGGCGAAATCCTAAAGACATGACGCAAAACCATAAACCCGGAATAAGATTAACGCCAGAAGCAAGGATTGCTATCTCCTCTCCGCAGCAATCGATCGATCTATTAGAGATGACACTGACCCCATGCCGCCGCTAGGGTTTAGAGAGAGAGGACCCGTGCGAAACTTCTCAGCCTATTACTCCCTCTGTCCGTAAAAGAAGTTCCATTTCACTTATCGAAGGTCAACTTAAATCACTCTTAAACTCTTACTTTTTATATCAAAATTTTATAAAAGTTGAATTATTTTTTGCAGGCTTTGTAGCGGGTTTAATGTAGTTTCTGAATATGTAAACTTTATTTACTAAAAATAATCCGAGTTTTCACAGGGATCATTTAACTTTATCGTCGGTCAACCTTCGTAATCGGCAATTGGAACAACATTTAGGGACGGAGGGAGTATTATCTTTCTGGAATTCACATTGATTTACTAGTATAAAATAAACTTTTTGAAAGTTTAAACTTTTTTTAAAAGTTCGGATCAAATCAAACGTAAACAAAGCACATTAGACGAGAATTGAAATTGTTTCACTTAATCAATTATAAAATTAAAGGATTAATAACTTGCATCTTCCGTCCTCTCCAAGTTTGGACAACTTGTGAAATCAATATTGACATCATTAAAAATTAGAAACAAATCAACTAAGTAATACCCTAAGATCCTTCATAAATGATCCTTTAACGTGTAAAAAATGCACAAGTAACAAGAACTACACCTGCATCTCTACATGAAGTATACACCGATAAATATTAAATATTCATACAAAACTTGATACTAGCTAATTACATAGAAATGAAGAAATCATTTTATAAATTATAATCAACAAATATTTCAATAAAATTTCACTAAGTCAAAGCAAGAATTAAATCATAGATTAAGCTAGTAACATTCTGAAAGTTGGGATTATAATTTATACACTTGAGCACCAAAGTAAAATCATTGTCAAGATAATAATTTTTCTAGGCATATAACAAATGAATGAATAAAATAAGGAACTGATCAATAATACAGTAATTATCATTATGAGCATGATAAAACTCTTGCTCGTCCCATAATAACAACAATTATAATTAATTCTCATAAACCCTAAAGTCAGATAATTCTAAACCAAAATTGATGGATCACTTCAAAATGGTATATTTGGCCGTAGCTACCAGAGCAACTCTTGGATCATTGAATCCACTTCTTCTTCTCCGAGTATCTCCGGCTGAACAGAGGACGGCGGCGAGGAATTAGAATGCTGTGGAAAAACAGGGCCACCGCCCTGCTCCGGCTCCAACTCTCGGATCATTGATCCAATGTCTTCTCCAGTAATCAGCCAATCATCTTCCCAACCAACAATCTCCGGGGTATTGAGTGTCTCCTTCTCAATCGGCGAATAGCAGCCGGGTTCAGAAATAAAATGGCCACCGGCCAGAACAGAGGGCGGCGAAGCATACTGCGGAGGAAAATTAACTGACTCAATGTCTTCGTCGGGCAACGGCCCGCCGCTATTCCAAGCGGTATTCTCGCCGGACAACGGCGAAGGAAACAGAGGACTGCCGCGGCGGCCCTGCTGATCTTGCTGCTGCGACTCTGGACTCATCAGTCCCATTCTCTCTTCACTCTCGAAAATCCCCGTCGGGTCGCCATACACATACGGGTTCCCCGCCGGAGAGAAGACGACGACCGCAACTTTGACACCCGGGAATAGACGGCAGAGATCGAATGCTTTCTTGAAGAGCCCGTTTCTCCTCTTGGTGAAACACACATTCCGAGCTGCCAGTGACTCGATCAGTTTCATCTCGATTTTCGACTTCCCTTTCCCCATTTTTCTCTCTGTTTTCTATCTATTTGATCAATATTGTAAACCAACCCCTTCGCCGATGTATTTAAGAACTCCTTAGCACCGCCATATACTGTGTATATATTTGGACAACCGATGATCTCCGCGCAATCCTAGTAATGCTAGCCGCGCTGATCTTTACAATTTTGACCTATTTCATACGTAGTATGATTTCCACTTTTGATTTTTTAATAAAAGATTTGGGGTGTATTGTTTTCATAAAAAAATATAAGGTCAGACGTCAAGATTTTGCCGGAATTTTTTGTTAAAACCATCTTTCCTTATTTGTTTTTTTTTCAAAAACAATACTAAAATAAAATTTACAATATTTATTTACAATATGATTAATAGTTACTACAATGTAATGTAACTGTAACTTAAATATAATTACTATAATTTTATTACTATCCTAGTCATTGGTCACATTTTTGTAAATAATTTTTATTTTACTCATAAATATTCAATTTTTTTTAATTGAACATACTTCTTTAACGTGTGATAATGTAACTACATTAATAAATTTTTATTTATCTAACGTGCAGATGTTAGATTATGGCCAAACCTTGATGCACAATTTTGAACCGATTTTTTAATTTGTTTGATGTTAATCTTTTTTGCTATTTTGGGACAATTTAAAGTGACATGATTCCATATTGGTACGACGTTGTACTACCACGTTTACAAATATGACTGTAAATTTCGGAACATAACCATGATGTACAGCTAAAATAGTTACACTGTTTAGATCAAACCAGAGAAAATTGGATTTAAATTGAATGGACATAAACAGAATAGACCATATCAGACAAAACTAGATTTAGAAAATAATAAAATGCACATACACCAAAGTCCAAACGTTGACCGGGCCAGACTAAAACCTGTTATACCATATCAAAATAGATGAGACAAACTAGACCAAACCTCCTTTCAAAATTTTACATATGCAATATTGATGTCAGATGAAACTAATTATTATAAAAACTTATGTAATTTAATATATTTTTTGTAAAATCAATCTAACCGTTATCATCTGGGGTCGGGTCAACCTAGAGGGCCAAAAAACTTTGTCATTTCATAAAATTTAAATCATGACTTTTTTAGTTTAATAACATGGAATTTATAAATTCTATACTTTTATGAAAGTACTTATAATAAAGGACATTTTCATACTCCGTATAACTTTTAAATTATAAATAATTTTTAATAAAAAAATATAGTTGGTCAAAATTTTGAAATAACAATTTTTTTAATGGATGTAATACCTATTTATATAACTATTGTAACACCTGGGGCATGCCCCTGGTAGTGTCACGTTAATATAGATTATAAAAGCACATATTAATATACATTGTGAGTTATTTATAGAAATGGTTAATAACATTTTTTACATTGAAAAATAATACTTCGTATATTACAGGTATATTACTTTTTTTCAGAAATGAGAAATGGATTTTTAAAGATGGAATAATGACAAAAATACTGGTTGCAGGACTTGATGAGTCAAAAATATGGCCATTGTTATATTCGGACGAATAAGTGACCTCATCGTAGAATAATATGACTAGAATGCCCTGAAAACTAACCCCAATCTACCATCTCATTTACGGACCAAGTATTATTTCTTCCTTCAAGTTCGGCGATGTCGGCTACGCTAACAACCAGAGAATTAAGACGGCTAGCGAAGGCGGACGACCAACGAAGGAGACAGCGTAAACCAGCGGCGCTGATGTGCAGCGACGACGACGGCCGACGACGATGAGGATCCAATCTCGCACCTCTTCTTTTTCTTCTTAGTCCGCGTCACATCCCTAGTACGCTCTTTTCTTCTTCTATGTCTATCACATTCCGTCAGCCATTGAAATCCAAAAAGGAGATTGGAGCTGTAAACCAGCATCAATTGCTCCGATTTAGATCTGTGGTGGTGTCCATGAAAGGGTAAGGGTAGGTGTATGATGTCTGCAACTTCAATTTTCGCAGATTCAGAATTTGGATGAGCGAGATCTGCTGTGGTGCTCGATTTCTACAAATTCCGATTTTAAATTTGCGGTGGTGCTCCAATGTTTGCTGGTTCAGAATTGCAATTCTGGATCTAATTTCCAGTGACCTTGTCGGATCTTTCCTTTTTTTCTATGGTGACTTCTACATTTTGCGTCAATTTATTGGCCGGAGTAAAGTGCTCTAACTGGGTGGCAGTGTCATGGCAGCCCGAGTGAAGTCAACTAGTTAGTAAGGTCATTAGTCACTATGGTCACTCTGTGCCACTGGATTTCGGTTGGTCACTGAGGCGGTGGTCATTAGACGGCGGTCACCGAGCGTTGGTAACTGTGTCATTGGTCACTACTTGACGGAGTCACTGTGATAATTGTCACTTTGGTCACTCTAAATATTGGTCACTGAACACTTTTGGTCACTTTGGTCACTGTACCGGATCACTGTAGCAAGCTAGGTGGTCCTGGGTTCATTAAGGGTCCTATTAGTAAATTTTAGTCTCATTTTTGGAAATTCAAACATAAGTACTCATTTTTGTCCACCGAGAATTTTTAAGTAATATTGTAGTCTTAAAAGGCT